TAGTGTACATGTCGCAACGTTCTTATCGATTGAACTTTGCTATTTGTACACTGATTTTTGACACGTTGTTTGACACTTGCATTGTTGTCAAGTGTCAATTGGATGGGTAGACTATTTCAAATTTAAACTGTCTGACAGGGTAATGTCACGTGGCAAATTATAAACTAAAGTGTACACCATAGTGTACATGTAGCAAGGCTCTTACCGATTGAACTTTACTATTTGTACACGGATTTTGACACGTTGTTTGACACTTGTATTGTTGTCAAGTGTCAATTGGAGGGAAAACTATTCGAAATTTAAGCTGTCCAGCAAGGTAGTGCCACGTGGCAAAGTGTAAACTAAAGTGTACATTATAGTGTACATGTAGCAAGGTTCTTACTGATTGAACTTTTCTTAATGTACACTGATTTTTGACACGTTTGACACTTGCATTGTTGTCAAATGTCAATTGGATGGAAAAACTGTTTGAAATTTAAACTTTCCAGCAGGGTAGTGTCACGTGGTAAAGTGTAAACTACAGTGTACACCATAGTGTACATGTAGCAAAGTTCTTACCTTTTGAACTTTGCTATTTGTACACTGATTTTTGACATATTGATTTACACTTACATTGTTGTCAAGTGTCTTATGGTTGAAAAAATTGTTTGTAATTTAAACTGTCCAGCAGGGTAATATCACGTAAAAAAGTGTAAACTGCAATGTGTACACTATAGTGTACATGTAGCAAGGTTCTTACCGATTGAACTTTGCTATTTGTACACTGATTTTTGACACATTGTTTGAAACTTTCATTGTTGTCAAGTGTCAATTGGATTGGAAAACTGTTTAAAATTTAAATTGTCCAACACGGTAATGTCAGATGGCAATGTGTAAACTAAAGTATACACCATAGTGTACATGTATTAAGGTCCTTACCGATTGAACTTTGCTATTTGTACGCTGATTTTTTACACGTTGTTTGACACTTGCATTGTTGTCAAGTGTTAATTGGATGGGAAAACTGTTAGAAATTTAAACTGTCCAGTAGGGTAATGCCATGTGACAAAGTGTGAACTAAAGTGTACATGATATTGTACATGTAACAAGGACCTTACCGATTGAACTTTGCTATTTGTACACTAATTTTTGACATGTTGTTTGACACTTGCATTGTTGTCAAGTGTCAATTGGATCAGAAAATTATTTGAAATTTAAACTATCCAGTTGGGTAATGTTACATGGCAAAGTGTAAACTAAAGTGTGCACCATAGTGTACATGTAGCAAGGTCCTTACCGATTGAACTTTTCTATTTCTACACTGATTTTTGACACGTTGTTTGATGCTTACATTGTTGCTAAGCATCAATTGGATGGGAAAACTATTTGAAATTTAAACTGCCCAATAGGGTAATGTCATGTGGTAAAGTGTAAACTAAAGTGTACACCATAGTGTATATGTAGTAAGGTTCGATTGAACTTTGCTATTTATACACTGATTTTTGACACGTTGGTTGACACTTGCATTGTTGTCAAGCGTCAATATGATGGGAAAACTATTTGATATTTATACTGTCTAATAGGGTAATGTCACGTGGCAAAGTGTAAACTAATGTGTACACCATAGTGTATATGTAGCAAGGTCCTTACCGATTGAACATTGCTATTTGTACATTGATTTTTTACACGTCGTTTAACACTTGCATTGTTGTCAAGTGTCAATGGGATGGGAAAACAGTTTGAAATTTAAAATGTCCAGCAAGGTTGTGTCACGTGGCAAAGTGTAAACTAAAGTGTACTGCATAGTGTACATGTTGCAAGGTTCTTACCGATTGAACTTCTCTATTTGTACACTGATTTTTGACACGTTGTTTGAAATTTGCATTGTTGTGAAGTGTCAATTGGATGGGAAAACTGTTTAGGGTATTGGGGTTAGGGTTTAGGGTTTTAGGGTTTAGCGTTTAGGGTTTTTTTTTTTAGTAAAGACATTCACACATCCTTAATGACTTTTTAGGGTCCACCAAGGATGGTCGATGGGGGTTAAGGGTTCCCTAACCATATTTATTTCATAAAAATGAAGAGTACTAGGAAAGAGAGGGGCATAAACCTGACCTCCAAAAAGCAGCAGTGCAACAACTGGAAAATTAAAAATAAACAAAGTAAATGAGGAAGTACTACTTCCTTGTACAAGAAAAATGCAATAATGATAGCCTAGACTACAAACCTCTAAAGCTGGGCAATCCATGTCTATCAATCTGCACCAATACCCTAATTTGTTGAGGCAGGTTGAGTGGTCCATATTCTTGGTAATGTTGGTGATCCCAACCCTCTGAAGCAAGAGAATTTGCAACTTGGTTACCTTCTCTATAGATGTGAGAAACTGTGTCTCTGTCAAAGAAAATGACGTTTCTGATCTGCCTTAGAATACCCTGAATTGTCCATGGTCCTACACCTTTGGTGATGCAGTGAATGGCCAGTGTTGAATCTACCTCAATCCAAATAGCTGATATCCTAAGTCCTCTGGCCAATGAAATCCCATCTAGTATGGCTCTAAGCTCAGATTCCAAAATCAAACATGTGCCATACGATGCTGAAAAAAACTTGATGCAGTATCCTGTGTGGTCCCTAACGATGCCTCCACCACTCGCAATTCTGTTCTTGACGCATCCGTCAGTGTCAATCTTATAGGATCCTATTGGTGGAGTGTGCCAAACAACCATAATTGGTGGTGGTGGGATAGCACGGGTCATAGAAATCCCAAAAATGGGTACAAGTGTCACATCCCCTCGCCAATGCACAATTGGGAACAATCCTCCCATATGAAGAAAAGATATCATGTGGTAGACCCTCCAAACAATACGGCTGGCAACCATACAAACACCCCTATGTTTGGCGTCACTCCTCTTAGGCCATAGAAACCAAAATATCAGTAGGGAAATGATAGTACGAATGTGCCCATGACTAACATGTTCCCAGAATACCACCATCTCTGGAACCTCTATCAGACCCCCTCCCCTGAAGTCATAGGTATTAGAAAGATGTCTCCAAAGTGCTGTCATCCTTGGTCGGAGATTCTACTACTCGTGAAAATATGATTGATGGTCTCAATCTCAGAACAACACTGACAACGAGAAGCCAATTGACATCCAATCCTCCTCTGAATAATCACATCGATAGGAATGAGATCTTACCACAATCTCCAATAGAATAATGAAATAGTGGTAGGCAAAATAGGGCTCCACAGTAATCGATACGAATCTTGAGGCTGGCGAACCGAACGGATAAGCTGCCATGCTGATTTGGTGGTAAAGTTACCATCCGATGTAATCCTCTGAACAATTCGGTCCGGGGCTTCTGCACATAGAGATATGGCTCCTATTTGTTCTGCCATTTGAGGAGGAAGAGTTTGTAATAACCGTCCAAAATCCCACCTAGTGTCATCAAAGAAATCCTGCACCCTCATAGATGTGTGCTGTCTGTGTGAGAATCGGGATGCCAACGTGGTCTCGCCCATCCAACAATCATGCCAGAAGAAAATCTGGCTAGCTCCAAGATGCCAGGCAATGTGTGGATCTGTCTGTGGTCCAACTAATTTCAACCTCTTCCAGGTAGGGGAAGCTAAACTGGGAACTGCTGCAAGTGAAGGATGTGTTCCCATACAATACTTGCCCAGTAAAAACTGAGCCCAAAGTGACCTCTAAGATCAAAACAACCACCAGAGCTTCATGAAGAAGGTGTCCACCACATCTTGTAATCTCCTGAAGCCGAGGCCTCCCTCATCTGTTGGAAGGCAAATCTCCTTCCAACTCCTCCAATGTAGGCGTCGAACTTGATCCTTAGAATCCCATAGAAATTGGGCAAAGATGCTCTCAAGCTTCTTCAGTACTACCTTGGGCGGTTGCATAATCTGAAGAAGATGCAATGGTATGGAGGAGAGTACTGACCTCAGTAAGGTAATACGACCCCCAGGTGACAATAATCGTGAAGCCCAACCTGAGATCTTATCCTTGACCTTCTGGATAAGGTCGTCATAAAGAAAGCTTCTCTTAGTCCCCTTGAATAGTGGGATTCCCAAGTAAGTAAAAAGTTGTTGCTATTGTCCAAACCCAGTCAAATTCTCTAATCGTCTGATCTGACTAGTGGATGCCCTTCTGGATAGTATTAGACCACTCTTATCTCTATTGACCAACTAGCCAGAAACCCCTTCGTAGTGCTCCAAGTAGTCTAGGACCCTCCTGATAGACTATTTTTGACCATTGGCAAAAATGATCATAGCATCAGCAAATGAGAGATGGGAAACAAGAGTACTACCTCCGTGTCGATAGCACATACTGGGATACTCCTGAAACCTTTGAGTGGGAAGGCATGAGAAGTAGTCTGCCGCTACAATGAATAAGGATGGAGAGATAGGATCACCCTGTCTGAGTCCTCGTGAGGAAGTAAAGAAACCATATGGACGACCATTTAGAAGTATAGAGAAACGGCACTCCGAAATGCATCGTCTAATCCTGTCAATCCAGATCTGATCAAATCCAAAAGCCTCCAATATAGAATAAATGAAACCCCAATCCATGCGATCATATGCTTTAGCCATGTCTAACTTTAGCATAGTGTTACCCCCTCGCACTCTATCATCCAAAGTGTAAAGAAGCTCCTGAGCCAGTAAGACATTGTCTCCAATTAGACGAGTTGGTATGAAACCACTCTGTGGAGGGGAGATAATGCGGGGTAGCAGAGTACTTAACCGAGTGTTCAAAAGCTTTGTAATAATCTTATTGAACATCGTGCATAAGCTGATAGGCCTGAAGTCAGTCCATCTGCAAGCACCATCCTTTTTAGGGAGCAAGACAATAGAAGTAGCAGCAAAACCCCATGGAAAATGACCTCCATCAAAGAAATCCAATACTGTCCTGTAAACATCCTCTTGAATAATATCCCTACAATGCTGGAAAAATAGAGATGAGAGGCCATCTGGGCCAGCGACACTGTCAGCATCAATATTGAAAACCGCCTCCCATACCTCATGCATCAAGGGGACGGTTTAGTGCCAAATTATCTTCCACCATCAAGAGCCTGGGAATTACATCAGAACGGATGTGATCCAAGGGCTGTGGAGGAGCAGATAAGAGATCCTGGTAGAATGCAATAGCCGAAGTCTGAATATCAGTTGGAGTAGATAAAACTCTCCCCGCCTGTGTCCTGATAGACCTAATATGCGATTTGATCCTGCGCCCCTGAACCATCGCTTGAAAATATCGAGTATTGTGATCACCCTCACATACCCAATGTGAACTGGCCTTTTGCTTCCAAAAGCCCTCCTCAATAGATAAGGTCTGATTTAAAACTGCCTGGGCATGATGTAGTAAGTTGCGGTGCTCCAGTGTGGGAACTCTATCATATTTTATCTTAGCCTCATCAATCCCAACCTCAGCATCACACACCCCCTGAAAAATATCTCCAAATACATGTCGGTTCCACCAGCGTAAACCCTGTTTTAGCTTGAAGAACTTCTCCCAAAGAGCGATCATCCTTGTAAGATGAGTAGGGAGCGACCACTTCTGGGAGACAAAGGCTAAAAAATCATGATGCTTGGTCCAAACATTGAGGAATCTGAACGGTCTAGGCCCCAAATCATCATCAGAAACCCACTGAAGCAGTAAAGGAGAGTGATCAGATAAAGTCCGATTCAAGTGTCTCACTGTAAGCTGTCAACAAAAAGCTGTAGCTGTAGAATTAATAAGTACCCTATCCAATCTCTTTCTGACCCGACCATTGGTCCAAGTATATCAATTTCCAATGAAACCCGCATCCTCTAAACCATAGTCTAACATCATATTAGAGAAAGCAGTAGTGCCACGATCACGAGTATTATGACCAGTGCGCTCTCCATCATGTGTAATAACATTAAAGTCTTCCCTAACTAGCCAAGGATCGTCCATATCGAGGGAGATGTGGTGAAGACTCGCCCACAAATCCCTCCTGATAGTAGCATCGCATGATGCATAGACTGGAGTCAAATAGTAGGACACGCTAGTCTGGGATCCTCAACTCTAACGTGAAGAAACTAGGGATGATCAACAATAACAGTAACATTAGTCCCCGAATTCCAAAAAAAATAGATCTTATTCGATTCATTCTGAGCTCCCATGTCGAAAAACAGATATCGTCGTATATATGGAAAATTCTACTTCAGAACAAAAGGCTCCAGTATAACTAGAAGATAAACCTAATGAAGCTGTATAGGTTTCTTCAGGCGCCGATGAGTAGCTACACCTCTCACGTTCCAAATGATGGCACTCATAGAGAAGGGGAATGTGAAGAGGTATCATGTGACTGACTCTGAGTGATCCTTCTGCTCGGATGTGGAGTATCAGTAGCCCGTGGATGTCTCTTCCGAACAATTGGGATAAATCCATCATCCTCTGTCCTCTCACATAAACCCACCAAGTTATCAAAAGAAGATCTTCGAAAGGGTCCCTGCTGGTGAACCTCAATCTGAGATGGGCCCTCTGTATCTGAATGAGCTGATGGCAAAGATGGAATAGATGCCTCCACATTCTGATGACAAATGGGAGGAGGAGAAGTGTGAATAAGTACCTGAGCCCAACCTGGTGTCGGGCCTAGAATGTAAGAAGCTCTGCTAACTGTGTCTACTATAGAATTCTTTGTTTGTGGTCTCTTCAAGATCTCATCAAACATAGGATCATAAAACGAAGTGATAGGTGGACTGATAGCTTGAGCAAGAGCTGAAGGAGTGGTAGATGTAACTGGATCTACAACACTGATAACTGGTAAGGCTGTAGCAGCGAGAGGAGCAACTGGAGGAACAGATGGCTGGGTCTGAGTATGTGAGCTAGTGCCAGTATGTAATGGGACTTATGTGATGACAGTGGACATAGAAAGCAGAATCTGAACTCCAGATGTGCTAGCATCGTGTTGTCTCTTCTGAACTCTGAACTGGAATCCATCTCTTAGGAGGCTCGATAACGACCTCCTTTCCTTTACCCTTATCCTTGGCCATTTCTATAGTAGGCTTAGGGTCAACAACTAGAGCAGGTGGTGGTGCAGGGCAATGCTCCTCAGTATGACCAAAATGTCTACACCTAAAACAGTAATTTGGCTTCTTCTCATACACAACTATTTGCCAATATCCTCCACACTTTTCACGCTGAATCCAAATCCTATCTGGAAGCTTATACTCCAAATTAACCTCAATACATACCCGTGCCTCACTGGGTCGTCGTAAATCTGAAGTGGCCTCATCAATACATAGTGGGATTCCAATGGCCTTAGCTAGGGCAAACAAACTACTCTTTGCCCGAAAGTGAATGGGCAATAATGGGAATGAAACCTAATTAGGGACAATAGGAGTCTCATGCCTAGGATTAAAGCTGGACGTCCACTTAAAAATGCGCATGAGACAACCATCGATGTACCAAGAGGGCTTAAGAAATAGGCGTGAGTAATCATCCTCACGTGCCAAGTGTATTAGAATATGAGTCGCATCAATAAGTCCAATCATATAATCACCTCAAAAACCAAATTTTTGGAAGCTGTCACGTACCTTAATCATGGAGGGCTTGCGACGTGAGAATTTGCCAACAAGAGTAAATTTATAAGGTTCAGAAAGAAGGTCCTCTTCTTCCTCGGTAAAGACAACTACCGGCTCTCCCATATGCGTGAAAGGTTCGTTAGAGGTGAACCTCTGGTCATTGGATCTAGTGGGGCTTGCAAAACCTGTGCAAAAAACTTCCGTTGGCTGCGCTCAGCATGAGAGACTACAGATTTACCGGAAAGTGCAGCCACATATGACTTCCTAGCTTGATTAATTACTGTAGGGACCTCCCATTCCAAATCCGATGATGGAACTGGGTCCATAACAAAATTCCCCACATTCTACTGAAGTATCACCAGCGCGTGACCACCACGCACCGACCGTTGACCGATCGAATTTCGGCAGCTATTTTCCAACGGTGTCAAAAAATTATGATTTTTCATAGGCAGTTGTGGAATTTCATGCTGATCATCATGGTATGTTACGTTATCCGAAATGAGTTCAGGATTGGCCAAAATCTGTGATTTTTTGAGCGACTGGCCGTAAATTACGATCACCGGTGACAGCACGTCCGACGTTGAAATTGGACCATTTTTCAGAAAAAGGTTCTCCTTCTCATTGGTAATCAGATGATATAGCATGTGTATGTGTCAGAGCTCCGTAGAGGGTTTAATTGAAAAATCAGAAATCGGCCCCTCGGGATTCGATCTGTCAATTTCGGGCGATTTAGACGCAATCTCCACCACCCCTAGGGTTTTCAGCCCTTTTAGAACCATTGGTGAGGGTCCCAGACCCTGAATCATGGTAGAAGATGAAGTTTTAGTGACATTGGCAAACGTGCCATCATTGTTCTTATTAGAATTCAATCCAATCGCTTCCAAAAAAGTAATATTTTGATTTTGTTGATGCTCTGGTGTTGTTTGGGGTTGAAATCCATCTGGTAAAGGTGGTATATCGGGTGGTAGGTCGAGATTTTTGAAGGTTTGTGCTTTGTCTCCCATTCTAGAGAGAAGGGAGAGCGTTTTGGGCTAGAGAGAGAAAGTGGAAAGGAGAGAATGGTTGAGGGTTTGGGGTTTAGGGTTTTTTTTTTTCTTTTTGGGTAAAGACATCCACACATCCTTAGTGACTTTTTAGGGTCCACCAAGGAAGGTCAATGGGGGTTAAGGGTTCCCCAACCATATTTATTTCATAAAAATCAAGACTACACGGAAGGAGGGGGCATGAACCTAACCTCCAAAAAGCATCGATGCAACAACTGAATATAATAAAATGAAATTAATAAATGACGAAGTACTAGTTCCCTATACAATAAAAATAGTTTAATAAACAAAGCTTAAATTATGAACCTCTGAAACTAGGCAATCCATGTCTGTCGATCTGCACTAGTGCCCTAATATGTCGAGGCAGTTCTAGTGGTCCATACTCTAGATAGTGCCGATGATCCCAGCCTTCTATAGCAAGAGAATCAGTAACCTGGTTGCCTTCTCTGTAGATATGTGAAACTGTGTCTCTATCGAAGTAGATGAGGTCTCTGATCTGTCTAAGAATACCCTGAATTGACCATGGTCCTCCACCTTTGGTGATGTAGTGAATAGCCAATGTTGAATCTGCCTCAAGCCAGATAGCTGAAATCCCAAGTCCTCTGGCCAATAGAAGCCCATCTAGTATGGCTCTGAGCTCAGCCTCCAAAATGAAACATGGGCCATACGATGCTGAGAATGCCCTGATACAGTATCCTGCGTGGTCCCTAATGATGCCTCCACCACTTACAAATCCATCTTTGACGCATCCATCAGTGTTGATCTTGTAGGATCCAATTGGTGGAGTGCACTAAACAACCATAATAGGTGGTGGTGGGAGAGGACGGGTCAAAGAAATGCCAAAAAAGGGTGCAAGTGTCACATCTCCTTGCCAATGCTCAACTCAGAATAGTCCTCCCATATGAAGAAAGGAGATCATGCAGTAGACCCTCTAAATAATACGTCTAGCCATCATACGAATACCTTTATGCTTCGCATCATTCCTCTCAGTCCATAGAAACCAAAATATCGGTAGAGGAATGATAATACGAATGTGTCCACGGCAAACGTACTGTCCAGAATACCGCCATCTCTGGAACCTCTGTCTGACCCCCTCTCCTGAAGTCATAGGTATCTGAAAGATGTCTCTAAAGTGCTGCCATACCTAGTCGAAGATGCTGCTGCTCCTGAAAATATGATTGATGGTCTCAATCTCGGAACAACACTGACAACGAGAAGCCAACTGACATCCAATTCTCCTCTATATAACATCTACTGGAATGAGATCCTGCCATAGTCTCCAGCAGAAGAATGAAATAGTGGCCGGCAAAATAGAGCTCCATAGCAGTCGATATGAGTCTTGAGGCTAGCGAACCGAATGGAATAGTTGCCATGCTGATTTGGTGGTAAAGTCACCATCCGAAGTAATTTTCCAAACAATTTGGTCTGGGGCATCTGCACATAAAGGTATCACCCCTATCTGTTCCGCCATGTGAGAAGGAAGGGCCTGTAATAATCGTCCAAAATCCCACCCAATGTCATCAAAAAAATCCTGTACCCTCGTAGATGTGTGTTGTCTGTGGAGGAATAGGGATGCTAATGTGGACTCGCCCATCCAACAATCATGCTAGAAGAAAATCTGACCGGCTCCAAGGTGCCAAGCAATGAGTGGATCAATTTGTGGCCCAACTGATTTCAGCCTCTTCCAGGTAGGGGAAGCTGAACTGGGAACTGCTGCAAGTGAAGGATGTGTCCCCATACAATACTTGCCTAGTAAAAACTGAGCCCAAAGTGACCTCTGAGATCGGAACAACGACCACAGCTTCATGGAGAAGGTGTCCACCACATCCTGTAATCTCCTAAAGTCGAGGCCTCCCTCATCAGTAGGAAGGCAAATCTCCTTCCAACTCCTCCAATGTAGATGTCGTGCTTGATCCTTAGAATCCCATAGGAATCGAGCAAAGATGCTCTCAAGTTTCTTCAGCACTGCCTTGGGTGGCTGCATAATCTGAAGAAGATGTAAAGGTATGGAAGAAAGTACTGACTTCAGTAATGTAATATGACCCCTAGGCGATAGTAATCGTGAGGCCCAACCTGATATCCTATCCCTTATCTTCTGGATAAGGTCATCATAAAGGAAGCTCCTCTTAGTCCCCTTGAATAAGGGGACACCCAAATAAGTGAAAGGCTGCTGCTAATGTCTGAAGCTAGTCAAAATCTCTAGTTGTCTGATCTGACTAGTAGATGCCTGTCTGGATAGTATAATACCGCTCTTGTCTCTATTCACCAATTGGCCAGAAACTCCTTCATAGTGCTTCAAGCAGTCTAAGACCCTCCTGATAGACTGTTTCTGACCATTGGCAAA